GCCAGCTCCCACCTTTCTCTCCATTTCTCCTCCCAGGGGAAGGGAGACTGAGGCCTCAGTGCTGCTGCCCGCCCCCCATCCCCAGTTACAGAGGCGGTGGCCAGTGGAGGTAGCCCCGCTGCTGGCAGGCTGAGGCCTCTTCCTGTGCTCTGGGTGCTGCCCACTGGCTGGAAATTACAACTGCTTGCTGTTGCCATAGTGACTGGTTGTGTTATTCCACCCTGCAGAGATGTGTGCCCCACGTCATCTAAGCTGGTGTGTTTCTGCTGGAGAGAGAACCTCTACATCTAGGAGTGCACGCGCGTGCATGTGTGTGTGTGTGTGTGTGTGTGAGAGAGAGAGAGAGAGAGAGGGAGGGAGGGAGAGAGAGGGCCTGCACCCCGCCCTCCCTCCCTTCCTACCACACTCTGCCTCCTCCCTGGCCCCGCCCCTCGCCCCAACCCCAGCAGCAGCCCTCCCAGCCAGCGCTCAGCCTGTGGCTCTCTGGGCCGCTGACTTCAGCCCACATTCACGCTCTGCTCTCGCAGAGCACTCCAGCCTCCATGAGGTCAGTTCCCCGTACCAGGACACAAAGAGCCTTGTTCTCCTTCCCAGTGCAGAGTGCTGCTAGACCGGTGGACAGACGGAATCTATTCAGCCAGACCCTGGGGGTGCACAGCTGGGACATTTTCCATCACTGGTTGTTACAAACAAATTTCTGAAGAATAACCTTGAACAGTTATTTTGGACATGCGAGAATATTTGTGGAATAATTTCCTAGAAAGAGTGTACTTGGGGAGTCCCACAGTGCGTGGCGGTACGCGCTAGACACTGAACGAAACATCGTACCTATGTGATTGTGTTTCATCTCACCATGGCCTTAAAATAGAGATAATTCGTATCCTTGCTCTACAGACAAGCAGACCAAGGCTCAGAGAAATTTAGAAGCTTCCCAAATCACCATCCAACGGCCCCAAATTCTCATCACCTGTTTCCCAGCCCCATTCCAACTCTGCGCACCCAGGAGCAGTGGATGCCAGGCCCTTCTCCCCATCTCTGGGCTCCCCTGGAACTGAGCGCCTGTGGATCCACGTCGGAGGCACCTGGGCACCTCCTTGCCTGTGAGGCTCCCCAAGATGTTGTCCTCAGCCTGGCTGGCTGCACTGTTGCGGTGATGTTCTGCTCCTCTTCTTGGGTCCCGATGCCTCTTGGCCCACGATGGTCTGTGAGTTCTTGGGAGTCAGAGCCAGGATGGGGGAGCTCAGCACGGTACCAGCCGGGTGCTGCTCACCCAGCCCAGTCTAGGGGAAGATAGGAGAGAGGCAGGGCGTGCTCGGGACCCAAGAACACCCCGCCTGTCCCTGGGAGGGCTGGCCTCATCTGAATTACAAAAATGGTTAGCATGCAGGGAGCTCGAGACACTGCAACCCCCGCCTGCATTTACATGACAAAAGCGATCGCCCAACGGTTCTCGGGGGCTTTGTTGAGCTCTCTGCCGCCTCGCTCTGCAGAACCTTGGGAATTGTTCTCGGCACAGGTCGTTCCTGGGCTCCATAGCCACCCTGCTGACAAAAGCCACATTGTGAGGCTGGCGGCAGCTGCTAGCACCTGCTGCCTGAGCCCACAGCCTGTGTCCACGGGCCCTGGGCTGCTGTGCTGCTGCCCTTGCTGCAGGGTCAGAGCCCAAGGCCATGGGCATCACCCAAAGCACTGTGGGGATGGAAGAACCTCCCTGGGTGCCCCCCCAGGCTTGGGGAGATGGGCTGGGCGCTGGGTGAGGTGATGGTGCCAAGTGAGAAACAGGGCCCCTAAACTCAGAGGGAAGAAAAGTGCACATGTTGTTAATGCTTCACCCAGAACAGGTGTTTTCTGTACTCTTCAGAGGGGAGGCAGCCCAGAGAGGCTCACCCACTGGCCCCCCAAGGCAGGGCAGAGCCCCCAGCCCCTCAGCACACCCCTCCCCCCTGCACTGTGGCTTCTAGCTGCCTTGACAGCAAGCAGTTGCCCTCTGCCTTTGCCAAGCTCCCTGGGTCCCTGCCATCAGTAGAGGTCACTTCCTCATGGGGCTCTGGCCTCCTGCTGAGCAGGACACCTCAGTCCCTAGACTGCCCCCACTGTCCTGGGCTGCTGGTACTAGGCGCGTGTCTATCGACCCAGATTCCCTGTGTCCTTCACGGCCCACAGACTCCCGATAACCCACACAGCCCCGGAAATCCCTCCTGGCTCTGTCTCCGTGGCCTGGCTGTGTGCTCCTGTGTGTTGGCACCCGGTCCCTCCCCCAGAAGCTGCACCTCAGTGCCTACAGTCAGTCACTCCCTGGGACCTGAGCCACACAGGCGTGCTTACATGGCAGTGCTGCACCCACTGTGCTTTGGGAAGCAGTGTTTCACTTAGGAGGAGGGCAGCCAACCCGCAGGAGAAGGCGCACACTGGCCACAGAGGCAAAGACACTCACGTCCCGGGAAGTTTGTCACAAGGCCTTGACAGGAATGGGAACTGGGTGAAGCAGGCAGAAGCCCTGCCTGGGGACAGGCAGGCCAGGAGGGAAGGCTATCACTCAGACCGCAGAGCCTCCACAGGGCAGGAAGGCTGGATGCTTCTTGAACCCAGAACCATTCTGCTGGAGGCTGTGGGCTACTTCCCCAAAACACAGCCAGTCTGCTGAGAGTGAGGGCCTTGGCTGGCCTCCCTTCCTGTAATCTGCCTGGGGGACCTCCTTAATCCAAATCAACCAGGAGGAACAAGGAGCCCGTTATACCTCTGCACGGAGCACACTCTAGGCGTCCAGAGCCTGGCCTCCAAGTAATAGTTTGAGCCCAGCTGGTGACGTACCTGGGAGGTCAGTATGGCCTTAGGACAATCAACCCCAAGAGGTAGGAAACACAGACTGAGCTCCAAATTCTGGAGGAGAAAGGAGCCCCAGGCCCCTCCCGAGCACATCATGGGCAAGAAAAACAGAAGCAGGGGGTGGGGGGGAGGCCTGAGGAGAGGCTGCTGTGGGCTGGGTCTGGAGGGACGCAGAGGGCGGGACTGGTCCCTGTGAGCCTCAGGGTCAGCCCCGCACTGGCTGGGCTCCAGGAAGGGGGACCTGAGTCCTTGCTAGCCTGGGCGTCTCTGAGTAGAAACTTCCATGTCATCAGAAGACGGGACGACGTGGCATGGCTGAAGGCCTTGTGCATGGCGCCCCTGGCTCTGGGGGTCCCCATTCCATGTGTGAGGAGCCCCCCCCCCCCAAGCTCACAGTGAATCTGAAAATCACACCCCAGCTCTTGGACACCAGGCCCGCAGCCCTCACCAGGAAACCCCAGGGAACTCTCAAATCGACCGCAGGAGGTGCGGAATTAGGAGCATTTAATCCTCTTTCTCCCCACCAGGAAAATAAAAAGCCAGCATTGCAGCATGCTCCTTTGATAGGGATCCAATTAAACTTTAAGGGACACTGGGTATTTTGTTTTCCTAAATCCATTTTATTTCAAGGAGAAAAAGGAGGGAAAAGCAGAAAAAAAAACCTAAAACAAAATTTCAAAACACATCAATCAGGGGGCAACACAATGGTATATGCATTGCGCACTGTCATCCCCAAATCATTCACGGAGACTAGGTATTTGAATGAATTTGCCCCACACTGTCCCAAGTTGTCAGACACCTTGATTCAGAAAGCAAGATTTGTAACAAGATGCCACCTAGAGTTGGCTGGACCCCAAAACCCCCACCCCACCCACGCCCTACCTCCGCCCCAGGCTGGGAGGTCAGAGATGCCTACCTCCCTGTGTCCACCCTAGTCAGTGGAAGTCCTCTGGGAAATCAGCCACTCCTGCTACCCTTATGGGCCTCTGACTCTCCATGTGGACCCAGAACTGTGGCAGAGGCCTCTAGAGCAGAATGACAATACGGTGTGGACCTTATGTGAGAGCCAGGAGGAGCTGTGTCCCCACTGGCACCCCTAGGTCCTGTTCTCTGGTCCGGGGAGGCCCAACTCCAGACATCCTGGTCAGAGGAGCTCCTCCCTGAAGCGGCTGTTCCTTGCATCCTGAGCATTTCTAACCAGCAGATTGGGCTCGGAATCAGAGCAGGGTTCTTACTGAGGCCCTGAATCTGAACTCGTGGGCCCAGGGCCTCTCAGAGCTGGCTTCCCCACTCGGGTGCCATGGATTAGGAGTCCTGCACCATGAATACCTTGAGTGCTAGGGCTGCCATTAAAATGCTGCAGGCTGGGTATTTAAACCACAGACATGAGCTCATGGTCCTAGAGGCTGAGAAGCCTGAGGAGTCCGAGATCTTGGTGTCAGCAGAATCAGTACACATGTTGCGGAGGGCTTTCTCCTTGGCTGGCGGGTGGCATCCTCCATGCTGGAGTGCTCTTCCCAGGACCCATCCTTTTTCTTTTTTTAATGAGGTGCTAATCCCATCTCTTCAAGACCTAATCACTTCCCAAAGGCCCCATCTCCAAGCAGCATCCCATTGGGGGTTAGACCCTCAGCCTACAAGCTTAGGGCCACAATGAAGTCACAGCCATCTGGGGGGACACAGTCGGCGTGAGGACCATGGTATCACCCATGGGGAGACAAAGGTAGATTCTGCTAGTGACTCCAGCCCATTTCCCCTGGCACAGTGCCCTGCTTTCCGGAAAGCAGTTCAGGGAGGAGGGGAAGGGTATTTGTGCTTTTGTTTTCTGAGGGGTTTTCTGGAAAGGTTTTATTTTTATTTACTTTCCAGTGCTAAGGATGGCATCCAGAGCCCAGTGAGTGCCGAGCACATGGCCCATCACCCAGCCTCGCTTCCAGCCCAGGTGCTCACTTCTGTCCTATCTCCAGAAAGGACCGGATGGTGGCAGGGAGAGGGCAGGCTCTGCGGGCCTGGGGGGCTCAGACAGCCCTGTGGCTCCAGGTAGCTGAGACCAGAGCCAGGGGGCTGGGGTCCCAGGACCAAATATCCCCACAGCCCCCAAACCCCAGGTGCCCTTGTTAGGACTGGCAGTGTCCTTCTGTGGATAGAGAAGAAATGTAAAGGTCACTGAAAACTTTAAACACAGTTTGTATTTATTGCAATACGAGCAAATTAACAATAAACCCATGAGTGCAGTGCAGTTTCCGTGGCTACCAAGAAGCAAGTCCTTCCTTTTAGAAATAGGTAAGGGAGAGATATCATGATGTCACCAATTTATTGGTTCATAAAAAAATACATTAGGCTTCCTCTTTCAGCTTTCCTGGGTGGTTGAAAACCATATATATATTTTTTTGTTTGTTTGTTTGCTTGTTTTTGTTTTTCTTTTTTTCCTTTTGGCCTTTTCGAGACAGGGTCTCACTATGCAGTTCAGCCTGAACGTGAATTCATTTTGTAGCCCAGGCTGGCTTCAAACTCACAGCGATCCTCCTGCCTCAGACTCTTGAGTGCTGGAATTACAGTGAAATTAAATATTGGGAAGAAAAACCAGGAGTTAATTGCCTCACTGCTGTGGCCCTGAGTCTGACACCTGCGTCCTGACACACTTGCCCACAGTGCGGCCATCACGTACCTGCCACCACTTGTAGGTGTGTCCCACAGGCCTTGTGCCCTGCTCCCCTGGTGCCCAGCCCTGTGACAGCCCAGCAGGCAGGGAGGGTGGTACTGCTGTTTTAGGAGGAAGATGTCGGATGCTGAAGGACATCCAGGACTCCAGGCCCCACCCTCCACCCAGGTGCCTGTCGCCCTGGGCCTCCTTGGAGACTGGACCTGCTGTGAGAACCACTGGTGGGCCCAGTGGAGGTGCCCCAGGTCCCCCGGGGTTTGTCCTTACGGAGGAAGTGGGAGCTGAGCTGCGTGACAGTGCGGGAAGAGGGAGTGCTGGGGGGCCAGAGCTGAGGGTGCAAAGGCAGCAGCGTGGACAGGGCAGGGCCTGCAGGAGAGGAAAGGACGGAAGCCTGGCAAGGGGCGGTTCCTGGAGCTCCATCGGGGCCTGGGGCTTTGGGTGGTGGCCCCTGGAGCGTGGGTGGCTGCAAGGGTTTTACTGGGTCCCCTGGTCCCACAAGGCCTGACTTTGTCACAAGACACATCAGCTGCACGCGAGGCTGGGGAACTCTGGGATTGCAATCTTCTCCCTGTCTCTGAGACAGGTTCAGGGTGCAGCCAGGGAACCAGGCTCTCAGAAGGGGTCACCTCAGTGTGTGCCGCTGGGAGATGGCCTTGGGTACAACCTTTGGAGCTGACCCTTGAACCACAGAAATCCCTCCCCTGGTGGGCAAAACTTCTACAGTCTACGTGGCTTTAAAGAGCTCCCATGGGGGTGAATTAGGGACTTGACAACACCCTGCTGGAAAATATAAATACATAAAGAACTGGGTATGTAGCTCACCGAGAGGTTCTGGGTTCGAATCCCAGCACTACAGACGCACATGCACAAGCTCTGTCTTGCTTGGGCACTGGTGAAATTATAGGCTGTCTCTAAAAAAAGAAAATATCTCTTTTCTCAAAAAGAAAGTTGCTTCCCCAGAAGGAGAAAGGGGGACTTCTCAGTGTCTTGTGAGATGTGGTGAAATCGGACTCCGTCATAGTTCAGTATGCCGAGGACACAGCCCCGCTGACTGCCCACACAGCTTCTTAAAGAGTGCCACGAAGCTGCCTCCATTCCAGTGCCCCCAGAAGCCTGCTGTGGCCCGTCAAGAATGTGGGATCAGGGTCCTGGTGGGGAGGGCCACATCTGTATTCGTAGCACTCAGGAGGCTGAGGCAGGAGGATCATAGTGAGTTGGAGGCCAGCCTGGGCTAACATAGTGAACTCAAGACCAGCCTGTACTTCACAGTGAGAGCCTGTCTCAAAAAGAAAACAAAATGTGGGATCTGTGTCCACCATCCCTTACGTGATGGACCCTTTGCCATAGAGCATTAAGGATATGTGGCCATGTGATTTCCAAATGCCAGGTCTCAAAATGCACTGCCCAGTGTGAGCCCCAGTGATCAGTGTTACCACTGGCCCACCGTGTGTGTGTGTGTGTGTGTGTGTGTGTGTGTGTGTACGCGCACCACCTGGAGATGAGTTGGTCCTCTTGGAGGTGAGCCTTTCCAGTGGTCCTGCATGTAGCTGAGGACTCCATCGACTCCACGCCCTGTCCAAACAGCAGAGCTATGAACAAGGTCAATGGTTGTTGCTTTTGCTACAGGCAGCTGGGTTAGATCGAAATATTATAGGCAGGCAGGCAGGGGTGAGCCCTCACAGGAGCCAGTGCAAAAGCCTGCTCCGCTGCGGGCCAGGTCTCAAGACAAAAGGCAAAACAGATGCAACCACACCCTAACTGTAAACATCAGGGACTGATATTCTCAATAGGTATCAATCACTTCGAGGAAACCAGCAGGAGCCATTAACCCAGCCCCTGACCAGCAAAGGCCCTGTTTGTATTCTGCCCCTTGCTGTGTGACTCTCCTCCCCCATTGGATCCCAACTGAATCAATGTTACCGGAGCAGTGACACTCCTAATCTTATTGGTTGACCATAGCTCTGTCCCGCCTTATGCCTGCCTGCCTTGGGGGGTCTCATTTTTCCTGACCTTGGAGCCACCTCATCTCCTGGCTTTGCTTTATAAAAATCCCTGGAAAAGGCAGGCTCCTTGGTGACTCACTCAGGACCCCTTCTGTCTCTCTCTCTCTCAAGACAGAAGCTTTCTTTCTCTCTATAAATACATTCTGTTCTTAATCTCTGTGGTTTCTAAAATTCACTCTACAATTTTAGAGACCAGGAACTCATGACAGACACCTAGTAGCTGGGAGTTTCTTTCCTCTGTATCACTCTCAGCCTTTAAGTCTCGGGTGATATTTACATGGTGATAGTAACTCATGGGGAAACTGAGTCCCAGGAGAAGCTGGACTTCCACAGGATGGCGGTAGCAGGGACAGGACTCCAGGACTGCCGACTGTGGCTCCCCCTGGGATGGCTGGGCTGTGTTCACTCACACAGCAGAGACCGAAAGGCCACCTCCGCTTTGTGGAGGCCAGCCCTCAGAATCGAGGACAGCCCAATGCCATGGGAAATGACCTGCTGTGCTGGAGGCCCGAGGGTCCCCTCACAGATGGCCAGGGGAGGACGGAGCTAAGAGCTGTGCTCACTCAGCGCCCTGTGCTGCACTGGAGCACGGCCCCTCCGGGCCCCACCGGCTCTGCCCTGCAGGCGGACACCGGCAGGGCGATGGGACATCCCCAGAGGCCACCACCGGGCCAAGGGTGAGGCCCAAGCCTCAAAGTTAGCCCATCTTGTGGCTGCTTATGCCTTGGGCTGTCGAGGTTACCCGGGTCAATCAGTTTCCTTCAGCGACTTAATTTACAGATACTAAAAAACTAGATAATTTGTAGAGGGATGTGACGCAGGAAGAGGTCTGGGAGTATCTAAGCAAGCTAGGTTTGACAGTTCAGCGGTGAGGGTTCACGCTAGTGTGATGGAGCCACAGCCTGATGTTGGGGACTGTTAGCTCTCCACTTGTAAAAGTTCTGTGTTAGCCAGTGTAAACACCACATTGTTTCTCTGGTGTAAGAAACAGAAAGTGCAAACAGGGACAAAGAGGTGTAAAAGGTTTGTGACAGGAAGAAAACGTTCAAATGGGGCAGAGGAGGAAGAGAAAGAAGGGAAAATGAAAAAACGAGAAAAAAAGGAAAAAGTGGAAACCAAGCTTTTGTGAATGGGGAGGGGAGGAAGGGTTGAAGGCAGGAAGGGAAACGGGGAGAAAAGAATCAAGATACATCGTGTGCAGGTGCAGATTCTCTGTGGTGAGTGTGACCCTTATGCATGTATTAAAATGTACCAATAAAATCTAATTTTAAAAAGGGAAATTATGCAAAATGTTTTATGTCAGCCAGTCCACAGAAATTATGAGAAGCTCTGTGATGTCATCAGGGACTCAGGCTCCATCCAGTTTTCTCTTTCATTTTTAGTGTATATTTTCCATCTTGGGGTTGCCTCGTATGCATGAAATGGCTGCCAGAACACCCATTATCACATCTGCACACCAATCAATATGCAAAAAGAAGGAATAAGGGACAAATTCCAGCTATTTCTACTCTTAAGATGTTTCTGGCAAGCCTCACCCAACAACTTCTGTCTAGACCTCACTAATCCTTGATCCCAGAATGCAGTCTTTCAGCCAAACATCTCCTGCTTCCTAGGATAAAATTATAAGAAAGAAATCATGGAGCCTGAGTAGGTATGGTGCTTTTATCATGGGCTAGGTTTGAGAGCCTCCAAGATGAAATAAGGAATTTAACCCTCCCTTTAAGAATTAAGCATGCAGGATCGCTGACTCCTGTCATAGCTAAAGAATTTTCAATACACATCAGTAAAAGAGGTGTGAGAAGGACTTATTCAAGGCAAGCAGAGTGCAAGCGCTCAAAGCCATGAGGCACAATACATCTGGGAACAGGGAACTTCTGTGTTTCGGGAGGTGGAAATCTGCGGCATTCAGTAATCTTTCATTTTAGGCTTACGCTTTGGCTTTGGTTTAGGCTGAGTCATAGAAGAGGACCCACCCTAGTGAGATGATGGTCTATTCCTACAGCAAGGGCCAGAAGGGCGGCCCATTCAGGAGCGGAAGAGAACCAACGGCAAGTGAAAGAGACGGGGCAGGCCCTGTGAAGCTGAAAGGAAGCTGCCCAGGGTTGCTATTTTGGAGAGAGAGAGAGAGAGAGAGAGAGAGAGAGAGAGAGAGAGAGAGAGAGAGAGAGAGAGAGAGAGAGAGAAGAGAAGGCAGGAAAGGAAAGGAAAGAGACCCAGTTTGCATTCTGTTACTGCAGTTTTTTTTTAAAGTGCAATTTTTAAAATTTCAATTTCTTTGTCTCCTTTCCGTCTATCTGTATTTCTTCTGTCCTACCTCAGTTTTACAAAATGTCCCCAGTTTTGGACATTTCTTCCTTTAAGAGCAAGAGTCTAATTCTCCTCCCTTGGAATCTGGGAAAGACTTAGAATAGGCTACTAATAAATATGCTAGGGATTCGGCCATGTGACATCTGGGCACAGAGGTAAATGTTTACTGTTATTTTGAGTAACTCACTTTTGGGCTATTTTGTTACACAGCAATAGCTGCCTAATGCTTTACCATTAGCAATGACTGTCATAATGTGGGTGAAAAAACCCAAACACAAAACTGGCCAAAGGATGGTAGAAAAAATGGCAGAGGGCAAAGAAATAGTAGTTTTCCTGAGATTTTCAGCAATTTTTACTTTTCAAAGTTTTAAAATATATTTCAGGTGAAGAATGATGTAATAAAGAACTCGCGGATGGATGGGGTTTTGTAGAGTGTGTCAGAAGGCTGGCTCCGGGACAGAGACAGTCATCTCCCCGAGGAGATCCTGGTTAGCCAGGTGGGAGAGGGGAGGGAAGATGTTGTTATTGTAGGCACTAAATTAGGGAGAAACAGTAAAGGCAGTCAGACAGGGCTGGGCCCTCAGGGAGAGGCTGAGAAGATGAGAACACATCAAAACTGTGGCTGGAGACGTGCTTGTAAAGATTAAAATCACAATGGCAAGATTTACCTACTTCCCGAAGGGCTAAACAAAATCTGGGATTATTAATATCACCCTCTGAGGTTTCCCATATAATAAACTACTATCGCAGTAGAGGTAGGCCATGGTCTCTCACCCACTAAAGCTAAGACCAAGACCAAGAATAAAGGTTAAACTGTAAGAGCACTCAGGAGGCCGAGGCAGGAGGATCACTGAGAGTTCGAGGCCAGTTTGGGCTACAAAGTAAGTTCAAGTTCAGCCTGAACTGCACAGTGAGACCCTGTCTTATAAAAGACCAAAAAAAAAAAAAAAAAAAAAAAAAAGATTGAAATTGTAGATGGTGGACAAGGTTAACAGTGCCATCCATATGCCTTTGCCACTATTAGGTCAAAAAGGCTGTCTTTGTGATCTAATTGGTTGATCGGAATTTGACCCACCTCATGAGTTTGTCTATAAAACTCTGGGAAAAGTGGGTGCTGTGAAAACTCACTTTGGGGTCCCTTCCTGCCTCTCAGGGCTTTCTCAATGTATTTTCGTACTCTTATCTCTGGGGTTCCTTACATTGGTAGTCTTCCTGGTTCAGGGACCACGCCCTTCCAGTAACCACTGCTGTCTCAGTCTGCTTTCTGTTGCTAAGACTGACTACCACAGACTAGATTACTTGTTTATGTCTTTTTGAAGAGGGTCTCGCTGTATAGTTTAGGCTGGCCTTGAACCACAGTGATCCTCCTGCCTCAGTCTCCCAAGTGCTGGGATTATAGGTGTTCCATCCCCGGCTAGATAATTTATTTTAAAAATAGAGGTTTAGGCTGGGGATTTAGCTCAGCCTGGCAAGCGTAAGGTTGTGAGTTTGATCACTGGTACCAAAAAAAACCAAAACAAAACATGGATGTTTATGTCACTCGTGGTCTGGAGGTTGGCTGTGTGAGCACATGGTGAGGGTCTTCACACTGCCCCCGATGTGGCCGAGGGGAGCATATGGTGAGACACAGCCTGCTCCTCTTATAACAAAGCCAATGACTGTAGTGGCCCATTGATCCTGCACCCAGGCAGGGTTTAACCCACGAGGGCTCTATCTCATGCCTAAACTCCCACCTCTCAACTGCGGGGGGAAGCAAGTTTCGGATGCACACAGTTTGAGTTCACCTTCAAACTGTCACATCACAAAGCAAAGAGCCCCAAACACAGCAGCCCGAAGGATCACCCTCTGTCTTGTGGCCCAGGAGTCTGCACAGGGCCTGGCAGGGTGGTCCCTCATTGCTGTGCCCATGCTCGGGAGCTGCCCTGGGACATCAGAGGGCTCAGCGATGGATGGCTAAGGGCGATTTGCTCCTGTTCTGCCTGCAGTGACCCAGCATGCACCACTCAGAGGACCTCAGGCTGGACTTTCAGGAAGAGCCTTCGGGTCAGGGGCCGCCTCTGGGCTGCTCTCCCGAGTTTCCTGAAATGTGATTAAATCCCACTCGTTTTCAACATCTCCTTTTCCTTTCCTTTGGAGGAAAACATTTCTCCATTATTCCCCCACCCTGGCACATCAATAGCCCTGACTGTGCTGCTGTCTGCTCTACAGACCAAAGAGGGTTCACCCCTCAGAGCAAATGAAAGCTCCCTGCAGAGAGGCTTGGCTAGAGCCAACCGACTCATGGGACGTTACGGAACTATTCTAAATCAACTGCTGAGCTATGAAATCAGGCCTAATGATGGCTGACACACTCAGGATTTCACCCTACACTGGAAGCCCCAGGCTCGTAAAAGGAGGAGGAGGAGGAGGATTCGAAGAGGCAGGGATCTGTTCTCCGCCCCTGGCTCACAGGCGGACCGTGTGTGTCCAGGCTGGAGGACTTGCCCTGCCCACGAGGCTTCTCCAGCTCCCTCTTCTAGGGTTCTACCACACCGAAAAAGGCTGTCCGGCACTCCAGTTCTAACAGCAGCAATCTGCTTGGTTGTTTCCACTCAGCCCTGGTCATCCTTTAGCCCTAGGTGCAGCAGCCAAGAATCAAGGCAAGTCCTAGTGGACATTATTCTTGGTAAATCCTTCCAGTCCCACAATGGGGGTACTCATTAGATAGAATTCCCTTAAGAGGCCAAATTTAATTGATTTGATAAATCCTCACATTAATTACTTGGCTTCCCACAGGCTTCTGATTAGTGGTTTTGTTGCAAGGTGAGACTACCAGAGGCTGAGAATCTAAACTCTGCATCTTGCCGAGTGGGGCTTTGGGAAAGTCTCTAGGCCTGAGAAGGCTCAGTGTTCTGACCTGTAAAATGGGAGGGAACTGCGCTTTCCTTGCCAGGCTTATTGTGGTTGACCTGGGTTGCAAGAACCTGAGTCAAAGGGATGAAATGCGGCATTGCCCAGCCAGGGAGAGGATCGCACATCCTGATGGCAGATGACCTGGCCTGCGTGAGGGATGCACACAAGGAGAAGCGATTTTCACTGAGACCAGAGACCCTCCCAGGGCAGCACAGAGGAGGGCGGGGACCCATGTCAGTCATCATGTTTAGGGGAGGGAGCCATCTGTCCTGGAAAGCCCGGGTGGGACCATCCATCATCTTAACGTGTTCCTTCCGTACATTCATTGCAGATATCTCTCCCGTCTCCATGGCTGGGTTTCAGAAGCATTTCTGGGCTTCATCTTTCCCAGTGTAAACATGCACCAGATGTGACATTGGCTTTTACCATGTAGCACTTGATGAATTATTTTGTACTCTGGACCACTGGGAGACAGGACAGGAAAACAGTTCTCTACCCCATGCTCAGTCCTATACAGAGCGTGGTTTCTCCTTGTCACTAGTCAAACTGCTGGTGGCCAAAACGAGGGCTTCAACACGATGTCCCTCATCCGGCAGTCTAACTCTCTAACAGTCAAGGTGGAGGGGAGCAGAACCCTGCGGGTCCGAGTCTTCCTTGGGTCGAAGAGTTCTGGAGTGACATTTTGAGCAACTGAGGAACACGGAGGCAGGGGAGTGAGTGAGCCCTTGACTGGGTACGCAGGGCACTGCTGTGGCACAGGTGACACCCTGGGTCAACTCAGCACTTCCAGCTCTGGCAGAGGCAGGACCACAGTCAGTGAGTGTCCCGGGAAGCAGGGAGGACCATGCTGACAGCAAGCATCTTACAGCCCGGCTGCCACCAGGAAGCAGCCCTGGAAATGCCAGCTCGGGAAGAAAACAGCCCGCATCCCACCCGGCACCAAGCTCTCACTCTTCGCTTCTGCTGCTCTGTTCCAGCTTTGTGTTAGCTCAAAGGCTGAGGCCAGTGACAGGTGGGTGCCACACAGTGCTATGGCTCACGTGCAGTGGGTGTTGTTGGGCAGGTTTCTGGGCCCCTGACTCCTTCTGTTTGGTGGCTCCATCACCCCCTAGAGCACCCTTGTCATAAACACCCAGGGGGCAGATGAGAAGGCCCAGCATGGAGACTGCTACAGTTACATTTTATTTTATTTATTTTGGTTTGCATTTTAGATGTTCTTCAAAAGCCAGTGTGTTAAAAGCTTTTTCCTCAGGAGGTTGAGATTGGGCAGTTGAGTTGGGATTGAGAGAGGGTAAACACTTAAAAGTCTGAGCCTCGCGGGAGGACTTTACGTCCCTGGGGGACAGCGTGGAACCCCAGCCCTCTCCTGTCCTTCCCGTTTGTTTCCAGGCCATGAAGTGAGCATCTGTGCTCCAGCGCACACTCGTGCTATGATGTACGGCCTCCTCCTAGATCCAAACCATGGCCACCTGGTCAGAGGCCACAACCTACTGAGAGTCCAGAAGAACCCTTTCTGGCTCTCAGTTGGTCCTGTAAAATATCTGAGGTAGTGACGGAAGCTGATCACCTAGAGACCCCACTGCTGAAAGCCCCCATACAGAGGTGGTGGTATATACCTGAAATCATGTCTTTACGGCTTCGCACACCCAGTAGAATGTAAATGTTGTGTAAATAATTGCTTACTATATTGTTTGGAGAACAATGACCATAAAGAAGTGTATACATGCTTGGTACAAATGCATTTTTTCCCTAAACATTTTAGATCTCTGGCTAGTTGAATTCACAGAGGTGGAACCGGTGGATACTGGGGGCCAGCTGGACGTGCACATGGCTTTTGCTCCTCCCCAAAGTATTCCCATGATTCATACATGGGTGTTCATTTTTCAATGCTGTGTAACAAATGGGCTGAAGATAATTGTGCTTATTAGTTCATGGTGTCTGTGTGTGCTTCCACTCTTTTCTGTTCTCAAGGTCCCACAAAACTAAATCAAGGTGTTGCCTCCAGGCTGTGTTCCCCTCTGGGTTGGGGTCTTTGTCCAGTCTAGGTGACTGAGGTGGGAGTCTATCATTTGAGGTTGTCAGGCTGAGGTCTCATTTCTAGCTGACTTTCAGCCAGGGACCACTCAGCAACCAAAGGCTGCCCACAATCCTTGCTGCACACACGGTCCCCTCCGTCCTCAAAGCCAGCAGCAAAGAATTGTCCTTTAAGTCTTCTTTGTATTTCTTGTAGAATTCTGCAGTGAATCCGTCTGGGCCTGGGCTCTTCTTCATAGGTAAGGACTTAATTACATTTTCAATTTCATTAATAGAAATTGGGTTATTCATCAGCTTTACATCTTCTTGACCCAGCTTTGTACTTCATATGTTTCTAGGAATTTGTCCATTTCTTCTGTGTTATCGAACCTATGAGAGTAGAGGTTTTTGAAATAGGTGTTGTTGATCTTCTGTATTTCCACAGAGTCTGTAGTGATTTTGCCCTTTTCATTCCTTAGTGCATGAATTTGAGATTTTCCTTCCCTTTTTTAAAATAAGGTTGGTAGGGGCTTATCAATTTTATTTATTCTTTCAAAGAACCAGCTCTGTGATTCGTTGATTCTTTGGATTGTTTTCTCAGTCTCTGTTGCATTAATTTCTGCTCTGCTCTTTATAATTTCCTCTCTTCTTTTGGCTTAGGGCTTAACTTGTTCTTCTTTTTCTAGGGGATTGAGGTGTAGCATCAGGTTGTTTATTTGTGTTCATTCTGTTTTCCTGATGTGGGAACTCAGTGCAATAAATTTTCCTCTGAGGACAGCTTTCACTACATCTCACAGATTCCAGTAAGTTGTATTTGTATTTTCGTTTGCTTGTAGGTATTGTCTAATTCCTTCTTCAATTTCCTCTGTGATCCACTGATTGCTCAAGAGTGTATTATTCAATTTCCATGTGTTTGTGGGGTTTTTTTCAGTTTCTTTTATCATTAATTTCTAGTTTCATGGTGCTATGATCCAATAACATGCATGGGATAATTTCAACTCTTTTGCATTTATTTAAATATGTTCTGTGGGCAAGTAGATGATCTATTTTAGAGAATGTCCCATGTGATGCTGAGAAGAATGTATATTCTGATGTTGTTGAATGGAACACTCTGTACATGTCTATCAAGTCCATTTGTTCACACGTATGATTCAGTTCTGTTATTTTTTTGCTGATTTTCTGTCTGGTTGATCTGTCCCTTTGTGTCAATGGTGTGTTAAGGTCTCCTGTTATAATTGTGTTATTGCTTATTTGATTTTTCATTTGTGTTAATACTTGTTTTGTATACCTGGGTGCTCTGGAATTTGGCACATATATATTTAAGATTTTTATCTCTTCCTCTTGAAGTTTTCCCCTAACTAGTATGACCTTCTTTATCTCTTCTGATCATTCTTGGTTTGAAGTTCACATTGTCTGCATACAGAATAGCTACCCTTGTTTTTTTTTGCGGGGGGGGGGGTTCCTGTTGCATGAAGTATCGTTTTCCTTCCTTTGACTTTCAGTCTGTGAGTATCTTTTGGGTTAAATGGGTTTCCTGTACACAGCATATGGCTGGATGTTGTTTCTTGATCCATTCTGCCAGTCTGTTTCTTTTAAGATGTGAATTGAGACCATTCACATTAATGGTTATAACTGTTATATATTGGTTCATTGTTGACATGTTATCTTTCTGCTGTTGTATCTTTACCTTTCCATTCTGTTTGTCTGCCTTGCTTAGTGGTTTTTTCCTATGTGTATCTAGAACGTCTTTCAGTATTCTTTGCAGGGTTGGTTTGGTGATCATGAAGTTCTTCAGTTATTTTTTGTAATGGAAGTATCTTATTTCTCCATCCATTTTGAAGGACAGTTTTTCAGGGTACATCAAACTGGGTTGGAAGTCATTTTCCTTTAGGATCTGAAATACTGCACTCCATGCTCTTCTTGACTTCATTGTTTGAGAAGTCTGCTGTGATTCTGATAGGTTTTCTTTTATAGGTTATTTGTCTTTTCTCTCTTACACCCTGTAATATTCTGTTCTTATGTTGGATTTCTGGGATGGTGATTATTATACGTCTGAGTGTAGTTTTGTTTTGGTTATGGCTATTTGGAGTTGTACATGCTTTACTAATCCATATGTCAGTTTTCATTCTCATGTTTGGGAAATTTTCAGCTATTATCTCTGTAAATAGCCTCTTGATATCATTTGTGTTGTTCCCTTCTTTTATATTTATCCCTATTCCTCAACCTCTTCAATGAAGTTGAAAGGGAAGCAATTCTTCCTAAGTCATCCCTGGAAGCAAATATTATTCTACTACCAAAACCTGAGAAAGACCCAAGTAAAAAAGAGAACTACAGGCCAATATACCTAATGAACACAGATGCAAAAATCCTCAATAAAATATTGACAAACAGGATGCAGCAAATCATCAAGAAGATTATACACCACAACAAATGGGATTCTTCCCAGGAATGCAAGGATGGTTCAACATATGTAAATCAATAAATGTAATCCACCATATCAATAGAGCCAAAAGTAAGAATCACATGATCAGTTCTATAGATGAAGAAAAAGCTTTTGATAATGCCCAATACTCATTCATGATAAGAACCTTACAGAGAATTGGAATAGATGGTCTTTACCTCAATATGATAAAGGCCATCTATGACAAACCAACAGCCAACATCATATTAAATGGCTGAAAACTGAAAGCTTTTACCTTAAAATCAGGCACAAGACAAGAATGTCCCTTATCACCATTCCTATTCAACATAGTACTGGAAATACTAGCCAGAGCAATTGGAAAAGAGAGAAAAATAAAAGGAGTAAAGATAGGAAAAGAAGAAGTTAAATTATCATTATTTGCAGATGACATAATACTCTACATAGAAGACTCCCAAAACTCCATTGAAAGACTCCTAGATATAATAAATAAATTCAGCAATGTAGCTATATACAAAACCAATACTCAAAAATCAATAGCATCCCTATACACTAACAACAAAATCACTGACAGAGAAATAAGAGAAGCCACACCCTTCAACTAGAATCCCCCAAAATGAAATACTTAGGAATTAATTTAATGAAATAAATGGAAGATCTATATGTGGAAAATTATAATACCCTGAAAAAGAAATCAAAGAGGACCTCAGAAGATGGAAAGACATTCCTTGTTCATGGATTGGAAGAATAAATATTGTGGAAAATAGCCATTCTCCCAAAACTGTTATGCAGATCAATGCAACCCAATAAAATAACATCAACATACTACATAGATCTAGAGAAATCACTTCTAAAATTCATCTGGAAACAGAAGAGACCTAGAATAGCAAAGGCAATTCTAAGCAGCAAAGGCAAGGCAGGAGGCATCACAATCCCTGACTTGAAGTTACACTACAAAGCTGTGGTAATAAAATCAACATGGTAGTGAAATCAAAACAGATCTGAAGATCAATTGAATAGATTAGAAGATACAAACACATTCAACTACCCTATCTTCGATAAAGGGGCCAAACACGTTCACTGGAAGAACGACAGTCTCTTTAATAAATGGTGCTGGAAAAACTGGCTCCCCATATGCCAAAAACTAAAACTAGACCCATGCCTATCACCATGTACTAAACTAAAATCTAAATGGATTAAAGCTAAATATTAAAATAGAAACACTAAATCTGTTGGAAAACAAAGTAGGTAAAAATCTTGAAGACATAGGAGTAGGTAGAGAATTCATGAACAAGAAGCAAACCACATGGGAACTACTTCCCAGAATCAATAACTGGGATCACATCTTATTAAAGTTTCTGCATGTCGAAAGAAATCTCCACCACAGTGAAAAGAAAACACACAAACTGGGAAAAAAGTCTTAGTGAAATGTCCGTCAGACAAAGGACTTTTGTCTAAAACATATAAAGAATTAAAAAAAGCAGACCCTCGAAATCCAAAGACCCAATCCAAAAATGGGCATCTGAGATGAATACACAATTCTCAGGTGAAGAAATACAAATGGCAAATAAATACATGAAAAAATGTTCATCATCATTACTCATTAAAGAAATGCAAATTAAAACCACACTGAGATTCTATCTCACTCCAGAAGGAATGGTCAGGATCAAGAAAACTACCAACAACAAATGCTGGAGATGCTGTGGGGAAAAGGAACTCTCCTTCATGTTGGTGGGAGTGTATACTGGTGGAATCACTGTGGAGGTCAGTCTGGAGACTCCTCAAAAAGCTGGGACTGGAAGCCCCATTTGACCCAGCTATTCCACTTCTAGGCATATTCTCAGAAGAACTGAAAGCATCACACCACAGTGATATACGTGCACCCATGTTTATAGCAGCACAATTTGTAATAGCCAGATCTTGGAAACAACCTAAGAGCCCATCAACTGAGGAATGGATAAAAAAGTTGTGGTATTTTTATGCAGTGGAGTACTACTCAGCTATAAAGAATGATCACATTGAGATATTTATAAATAAATGGGTGCAACTTGAGACCACACTCATAAGCAAAGTAAATCAAACTCACATGTATAAACACTGTATGGTCTCCCTAGTGTAAGAAATGGTAAGAGTACATAAGATTTTATGATAATCATGATTCCCTATTACATTGCTTTGAAACCTTTTAATGTTTTCATTCATTAGTTGGAATGGTTTTATTCTGTTTTATTTGATTTTATTATGCGTGACTGTATGAACAGCTATTTTGAAGAAAACAAGACATTATGGCAGCCATTGCTGATTTAATGTCATCTTGCTTTGAAGCCCTACCATGCTTTTGTTCTTCTGTTTCCATTGGTTCTATCATGTTCTATCTTATTAGATTTTAATTTGTGTGATAGTGTAAACAAATTTTTATGGAAAATGAGATATTATAGTAGCCATTGTTCATTTTCTGTTATTTGGTTCTGAATGCCCTGTAATACTTTTATCCTCTTGAATGGTTTTATAGTATGTTGTTATGTTTGATATTATTGTGTGTAAAGGTATGCTCAACTATTTCAAAGAAAGAAACATTATGGTAGCTACTGTTCATATCCGGTTGTCTTGTTGTGAAGTGCTGTGTTGCTTACATTGTTCTGTTCTCATCTGCTTTGTTCTGTCCTCTTTTGTTTGAGTCTCTTTAAAATTTTAAACAATTGTCCTTGCCTCAAATCCCTATCAGCCCTCCTGTTTCTGTGATCTCCCTGTCTTAATGTCAACAGATTAGAGACAGTAATCACATCCCAAAATCCCTATATGGATTATGGTTTGGGAACTGGGAGAAGGTGTGTGCAGACCAATGTTGGGGTTACCTTAGAAGTCCATCCAACACACCATCGCTGCTTTTGTTCTTTTGTTCTTTTGTTCGGGTGCTGCCCTCCACACCATCCTGCTTTGATTCTCTTATTTGGGGTGCTGACTCGTAGAGGTGGAGTTGGCTCCTTTCCCTCCTCCCTCTGGTGCCTATATGTCCATGCCACACTGCCCAATGAGCATAGTGCAAAAAAAGTTGATGGCTTGCTCGGACATTGTCACTATCATGAATACTACGTGCGACTGAGCCAGTCAACCGAAAAGCACTTTCCTTTGGTTCCCTTTAGGACACCTGCAGATACTCTCGGTGTTCTGGAGTCAGATCATGTGGAGATCATGAACGCTTCATTAAATAGCTCAGCCCTCTCCCCACTTGCTTTGGCAGATGTCTTGGGGCTCCTCCTGGCTCCTTGTAGGGTAGGAAGCTGTTACTATGTGTTTGGGGTGCTATGACAAATTACCACAGACCAGGTCGCTTACAGACAACAATTTCTTTTCACAGCTCCACAGGCTGATAAGTCCGAGATCAAGATGTCAGTAGATGTGGTGTCCAGTGAGACTCTGCTTTTTGGTTCACAGATGACTGTCTTCTCACTGTAGAGGGGAAAAGTTTTCAGGAGGTTCATTTGAAGGACACCAATTCCCTTCATAAGAGCTTCACTCTCATGATCTAATTGCTGTCTAAAATGTCACCTCTCAATATCATGATGTTGGACATTAAGGCTTCAACCTTAATCTGGGAAGGACCCAAATATTTAGTCCATAGCAGACCACAGACCCTGTGATCAGTTATGACCATAAGGGATGTGAGCTACTTCTGCACTGAGCATTTATTGGCAACTCAAGCCTTCCCAAAGGTCTCTTTCCCTCCGCCACAATGACTATCTGTGTTCAAGAGAGTGTCTGTGTGGTTGACCTGGTTTTGGCGTAAGGTCAGTAATGATACAGTCTCAGCCAACTCCTGATGTACTGAGAATTAAACTTTCAGATTTGATGTCAATGAGCTCCTGGAACTACTTGTTATTGTAGCATAACTTAGCTGATCCTGACTGATGCAGACAATAGGAGCCCAGGGTGGGGTGCTGCTGCAGCAGGGAAGCCAGGTGGGAGGGGTTTCCGTGCTGCTCAAATGCCTGCTGAGAGGCTGATCTTGCAAGCATGGCCACCTGTGTGTGAAACAGCATTCATTTAGCCAACCGTCACCTGAGACCACCGACACCTTTCAGAGGGAGGAGGCCAAGTGTGACTCTGCCAGGACTAAGAGCTCGGAGGATCCACGACTGAATTAAGAAACGTCCTGAAGAGCACTAAGAGCAGCTGTTGCCAAGGAAGCTGAGTGAAACCAAACAGCTCAGGTAAGAGGCTGACTACAGTTCTGATACAGCAATGCCGAACGAGCCACAGCCAGGACCTACGCGGTCTGTGACGGGAATTTGCAGCAACCCTTGAGCTCTAACCCACACACAGAGAGGGCTGTGGGAAATCCGCCCTCCCCCAAGGGGGCGCTCACTGCCCCGTGGCCACTTTCTGTGCAGCTGAGAAAGATAACGGCAAAGGAAAACCACCCACCGGAAGGGGAAGCAAGGAGGTTAAGGCCAGTGCAGTGGCCTGCCTGCCCAGCAAGCAGCCTTAGGCTACTCAGAGAACATTCCCACACCGGGGCAGGGCAGGGTGTGCCCGCAAGGCTTCAGGGTTGCTGTGGGTTCTGTCTGTAGCAAGTTTCTCCCCCTTACCTGTCTGAATCTGGAGGTTTTGTAGGATTATATTTTCCCCCACACCATGGGGCATCCATGTATGTGTATGGAGGAGGTATATTAGTTCTTTTTTTTTTTTTTTTGATGTCACAAAATGCCTGAGGCTGAGTACTATATAAAGAAATGAGGTTCCTTGAAGGCTGAGGCAGGAAGACTACAAATTTGGGCATACCCTGGACAATACAGTAACTCAGCAATTCCCTGCTTCAAACAACAGAAGTTTAAAAAGGACCGGGGATGTAGCTCAGTGCAGAGTTCTAGCTTTGATCCCCAGTATAGATGGGAAAGAGAAAAGAAATGAAAGTGAGAAGAAGCAGTGTATTGTCAGGCATGGTGGCACATACCTGTAATCCCTGTACTCATGAGGCTGAGGCAGGAGGGTTGCCATGAGTTTGAGGCCAGCCTGGGCTTACCACCCCCCCCCCCGCCCAAAAAGAGGATTATCTAACTCACACTTTTGAAAGCCCGTGATTGACTACTGCATCAGTTTGGCTTCTGTGTCCCAGCTTAGCTGATGGCACCAGGGCAGGAGCCCATGCACGAGGGGTCACATACCAAGACAGGAAGCCCAAGTAATCTGAACAAACTTGTTCTTTTTGGAAATAGTCCATTCCCCTGGCAGCCAGCTTACTCCAAGGAAGCAGCATTAATCTTTATTGTTTATTTATTTTAGAGACAATATGCAGTTCAGGCTGGCCTTGAACTCACTTACATAGCCCAGGCTGGCTGCAAATTCACAGTGTTCTTCCTGCCTCAGCCTCCTGAGTGCTGGGTTTACAGATGTATATTCCCATGCCTCGTTCAGTGTTATCGCTCCCAATGTCCTCACCACTTTCCACTACGCCTGGCCTCTTCATCTCCACCCCCCACCTTTATACTACAGCAAGGAGGACAAATCTGCCACAGGGGGACCCCGGGGAATAAGCCACACCCATGCTGTGGGGAAGGGGAGGGGCAGGCAACTTCCCTCTAGGTCACTGGTCTCCAGTCCCCCGCCCCAGGAACCACATGCCTAGCCTCTAAGTGCAGATGAAAAAGGCACAGGACATTAGGCCAGGCCAACCCAGGGAGGGGAAATGCATCTCCTGTGTGGGGAAGAGTAGCCCTGGTACAGGCTTTTCCCTTCGGTCACAGTGACCAGCATGTTCCATACAGAAGCCGCTCTGTTGGCCTGGCATCCCCAGGCACTCACTGTGGTCACAGAGCATGGCCTGAGGGAAGCCTGCCCCAGGGACTCGGTCCCTTTAGCCTCCTGAAGAAGGGTCTTCACGGCTGACCTGCCTCAGCCTGGCCGCTGACCTCTCCACCTGCCCAGCGGCTCCCACCGGGGACTTCTCTCCCCCCTGATTCCTGATCACATCTCCCCTCTCTTGTTTAACTTCTTCATTTTGGTGAAGCATAATTTCTGGTGCCCTCCTACCATGAGAAAGAATGCACGGGCAGGAAATTTGAGATAGTATGCATCTAAAAATAGTCATGCTGCATAATGATGTTTCAGCCAACAGGCCACATATACAGTGATAATCTAGAAGATTCTAATGGAGCCGAAAAATTCCTATCAACTGTGAGGTGGTACTGTTCCGACACAGCCACGCTGCAAAGCACACTGCACTGCCTACGTGTTTGTGGTAATGTTGGTGTCAACAAAAGTACAAAGTCTAGCCATGCAATCATGCATGGCAATGATACTTAACAGTAGCAATAAATGACTGGATTAATGGGTGACGCATGGGTACCATGCTTTTTGATCATTATTTCAACATGTATGCCTATTGATTGAAATTTGTTATCACAGTGTCTTAACTTTTTGTTACTGCAACAAAATACTCTAGAGAATCAATTCAAAAAGAGGCAAGCTCATGGTTTCAGACCAAGACTGATCCATCCTATTGCTTCCAGCAGCAGCATGGTTTCAGACCAAGACTGATCCATCCTATTGCTTCCCCGGCAGCATGCATGTCATGAGACAGGAGGCAGCGGAGGCCAGAGACCTCTTGGTGGCTTGGAAGCAGAAAGGAAGGGGAGAGGCCAAGTCCCAACATTCCCTCAATGACTTACGACCGCCCACAAAGCCTACCTCTTTAAGGCTCCATCTCCAAGAGCACCTGGGCAGGGGACCAAGGTATATACAACACCTGAGCCTCTGGGGACACTTGCCCGAGCACAGTAAACAGCAGGCGAAGGACAAAAGGCAACGACTCGTGTCTCTTCACTGCCCCAGTGACCACCTGAACTGGCTGGCCTGTGCACACAGGTGGGATAAGCTCACGCTACCAGGTTCCTTCCCACTGTGACGAAATGGGCCGCTAGCACATTTCCCAGGACTCGTCCTTGCTGCCAGTGATGGGCGACTGCCCTGGTGGGTAGCACGTCTGGGTGAAGGGTGGAAAAGAAACTTCCTTTACACTGTTCTCTTGTTATACTGCTTTCTTGCCTTGTAACTCCCACAGCCATTCTGAGTCCTGCTGGTGTGTGACCTGCTTCTAATGTCTGGGCATGTTTGTCCTTGAGATTGTGAAACTCAGTGGTGATACACCTTGATTTGAGCTCTCTTTGATCCCTGTAACATGTTCTTTGGTCGTGCAAACTCTTCCTGAATAATGGACAATTTTCTCTGACCACTTTCTGGGGTTCCTATTATTCAATCAATAAACTTTCTGGCTGGGTCTCTAACTTAACCTGCCGCCCCCATTCCCATTTGTTGTTGTAGTTTCCATTATTTCTAGTATTATGTTTTACTTCTCTTTGCTTGGTTTGTTTCCTCTAATTTGCTTCTTAAAAAAAAATCTACTGTGGCTTTGCAGCTCATGACACAGGCCATCCCAAGAAGTGAGGTCAGCTGTGGCTGCCCGCTCCTGCTGGCTGGGAAGGACCGATCTGTGTCCCCTTCTCTGCAGCCTTTCCTAGAGCAAGCTGACTGTCCCACCGGCATCTGCAGACATCAGAAGATTTAAGTGTTTCTTTCTGGGCTGGTTTGGCCCTTCAGAAAAATCCTCCTGGCCTGCTGGCTCCCTGTATCCAGAATGGGGCTTGAGACTCTCAGTGTCTTAATACCTAATGGGGCATCTCATCCTCCCAACTCTCACGGGTGCCTTGTACAACTGTTCCCAGCCCGGCATTTACTTTTCTCTTCAGGTAACAGACACTTTTTGTCAGGACCGGGAAGGGGCTCTTGTCAGGCTGAGATGGGGGGATCTGGGCACTTGAGGCCCTGAGCATTCTTTTGGCCTTCACGATGTATCTACTGCTGTCTGTTTGTGAAGCTTCCCTCCGGGCCACTATGTCAGCGTTTCATTTTCTCGGGTCTGCTGAGTATTTTAGCTTCAAAAATGGTGTTACTGTTATTTTTTCTCTGGCTCTCCTTCCCTTGTAGATTTATGCTTCAAAAAAAAAAAATATTTCAGAGACTCCTGAAAGACACTGACTTCCACACACCCCATCCAGCCACTTGCCCTCACTCAGAAACCTCGGCCTCACAATTTTTAGATTCTTCGCTGACCAGAATATCTTGGGCCACTTCTCTTCTTATCTTCCCTGTTCTGCTTGTCTCGATTTTGCTTTTCTCATCTGAAACACGAAGCCTTGTTCTCATGAATACGTAAGTGGCCTCTTTCAAAACCCTGCACAGCAAGGGAAAAAAACATGGACTCACATGATGAGATGTGTTCTGGGAACAGAACTGTATCCATCTTCAAGCTATTTTTTATGTTATTTTGCTTCGGGGGAATCAAACTCACAACCTTCTACTTGCCAGGCAGGTGCTGTGCTGCTGAGCCATATTCATGGCCTTGAAGGTTTTTTCCACATGGGTGCGTCTCCAACAATCATCAAATGATTGATGAGTGGATTACTGAGAAGCAGGTCAAGGTGTTATTTTGTATTTAGAAAGCCACTGGGTTCAGTTAGAACGCTCCAAAAGGTCACACTCATGGACGGGGCATGTCATAGCAGGGGCTTCTTGACCCAGGCCATTACTCTCTCCCCTCAAGTAAGGCAGCGTTAGCCCAGCGAATAGAAGAGTACGTGCTCCTCAGAGGTCCGCCACAACCACGGTGACAGAGAAAGATGTGGGAGAAAAACTGCGCCTGTAGGCATGTGCAGAATTTTGCTAGACCCACAGGGTCAGGGAAGAGATGTACAGTCGGTAAATCTGCCTAGGGTCTTCCCAATGAAGTGACTGATGTCACATGCGGTGGGGACAGAATGACATCCTGAATCATTATTTGCTCAGGACACAAATCTTAGATGTCACCCATACAATCCTGGAGAAGGATGACCACTTTCTGCCAGAGGCTTTGCTATAGGTAAGTGACTGGGGCCAGCAAGCTTTGCCATTCTCCCCAGAACGCAGCAACGCAACCAGCAGGAGGGCATTGGAACGGATAGTCAGGGTGCGCAGAGTTGACAATCTGCCGGTAACATGCAACCCCAAATGGCGCTTTCCCTTCGGTACCCTAGAAATCGAAGTCTTTCCTATCTAGGCTCCAAAATAATTTAGAATTTTAATTCTGTAAACAAGACGATGCCTCTAACCTCTTCCCCGGTCCACTGGGTCCAATGCCCAGGTGGCAGTCTTTCCCAGTTGTTGGGATTCAGAGCAGTGGCTGACTTGTCCCACAACCATTAGGCACGGTGACCCGTCTTAGTGTCCCCGGGTCAGGGGTTGCCAGAGGGCCGGAAAAACCGACGTTATAAAGGGCGTGTCAAACTCCGCTCTGAGGTGCACTAAGTTAAGCGCCTGCTTCTCCGGTGACTGCCTAGAGCAGAATGGAGCTGGTGAGAGTCAAGGGCAAGTCGCCTGGCCCGCAGGGAGGCCGCGGGCGGGGCGCAGCCGAGCGTTTCCTCCCAGACAGTGGGTGGGTGGGGCGCGATGGGCGGGTCCCCGCAGCTGGTGGCGTTTGAAGCCTCCTTGAGCGACTGCGCGGGGAGAGGGGCAGCCTGGAGAAGTTGGCAGCCTGCCTGGGCAGGGAGGAGAGGAAGGGGCCCGGCGTTCCCTAAACAGCGGCGCCCGCCGCCCGGCACGTAGTTCACTCCCGCGAGCGCGGGGCTGCCAGGCGGGTCTCCAGGCCGAGACCGGTCCCGCCGCGGCGACCCCGACTCGAGGGCAGGGTGTGCTTCTGGAAGCCCGGTTCCTCTCACAGCGCAGCCCGGCCTTATAGGTGACCCTACTCCTGGAGGGCGCGCTGGCGCCCAGAGTTCAGCAAGCGTGGAGACGGCGAGCGGCTGGGTCCCTGCTCGGCCATCCGGAGCAGGCAGGGCGAGTGCGGCATGAGCGCGGCCGGCCCCGGGAGAGGCGCGGTCAGCGCGACCGAAGCAGACGCGCCCCTCGCCGGTGGGGCTGGAGGACAAAAGGGCGCCTTCGGGAACGCACAGTTGCCACAGGGCCCAGGCCACCACCGCACAAAACCTCGGCGGGGAAGAGCCCAGCGGGGCTCCGAGGTGGGGGGTGCGGGCGGCGGCCCCTCGCGGTTGCACCCCGACACGCCTCCCCCGACGTCGTGCGTCAGCGCGCCCCGCGGCGGCTCCGGCTTCCGCCCCTCTCCCGCCGGCAGGGGGACACGCCCACTGGCGCGCGCAGGCCCCGCGGCCGGGCTCGCCCTCACGAGTCCCGGATTGGCCCGACAGGGTCCCCACACACCAATGGGGTCCGCCCCTGCTCGCGGCCACGCCCTCTCCCGAGACGCGAGCGCGCGGCCGCTCAGTCCCGCCGGTGCGCGCTCGAGGCTCCCCGCCCCCTCCGCGCGCGCAGCTCTCCGCGGCCGCCGCCTGTAACCTGCGCCGCCAGGATGTGGCTGGGGGCTGACGTCGGGTCCAGATGTGGCCCCGGCCCCGCCCACCCCCGGGGCCGGGCCGCCCACACCGAGCCGCGGCGCGCACGGCGGCTGTCCCGCCTGCCACAATGCGCGGCGGAGCTGCGGCCGCGACTTGACGCGGTCGTCCCTCACGTCGCCACTCGCCATCCTTAGGGCCGGCCGTCCCTGACGCCGCGCGGGAAGCCCACTCGCCCGCGCCCCACATGCGCTCGCGCTCCGGTTCCCGGCCAGGCGGGCGCCTCGCGGACGCGGAGCCGCGCGGGTGACGGCACAGGCGGCTACGCGCCCGGCCCAGCCCAGCCCAGCCCAGCCGAGGAGGGCGCGCCGCGCCCCCGCCCCCCGCCGCCCGCCCGCCCGCCCGCTCGCTCGCTCTCCCGCTCTCCCGAGGCCGTGGGTGCGGATGCGCCGCTGACGACTCGAGCGCCCAGCACCGCCGCCACCGCCCGCAGCATGGCAGCCACCGCCTATGTGGACCACTTCGCCGCCGAGTGCCTCGTGTCTATGTCCAGCCGCGCGGTCGTGCACGGGCCGCGGGAGGGGCCGGAGCCCCGGTCCGAGGGCGCGGCCGCCGCCGCCGCCCCCGCGCTGCCCCGGGCCGAGGAACGGCGAGATGGCAAGGACAGCGCCTCGCTCTTCGTGGTGGCCCGGATCCTAGCGGACCTCAACCAGCAGGCGCCCGCGCCCGCCCCGGCGGCGGAGCGCCGAGAAGGTGCTGCCGCCCGGAAGGCGAGGACCCCCTGCCGCCTGCCGCCCGCGCCCCCGCCCGCCCCCGAGCGCGGCGCACCCGGCGGGGAAGGCGCGGCGGCCGCGCCCCCCAGCCCCGTATGGAGCGAGCCCGAGGCCGGGCTGGAGCCCGAGAGGGACCCGGGACCTGCGGGCAGCGGCGAGCCCAGCCTCAGACAAAGGGGCCGGCGGGGCCGAAGTCGCGCCGACCTGGAGTCCCCGCAGCGGAAGCACAAGTGTCACTATGCGGGCTGCGAGAAAGTTTACGGGAAATCCTCGCACCTCAAGGCGCACCTGAGAACTCACACAGGTCAGTGGGGCGCCGGGCGCCCAGAGCGCAAGGCCAGGGCCTGGCGGGAGTGCCCAGCCACGCCCCCGGCTGCCTGCCGGCACGGGTGGGGACAACGCCCGAGCGGCCGCGAAGGACGCGCGAGCCTCGCCTGCCGCCCCGGCCCCATCCGGGTCTTGGTCCCGGTCCCCGTCCCCGATGGCCTCGCACGACCGTGGGGCGGGTCCGGCTCTCCAGCCGGCGCCCGTCCGGCGACCGCGCCCCCGCGGGGCACGCCCCCTCCCTCCCGGGCGCGCGGGGCGGAGCGGGACGCGGGGGTGGATGTCGTCACCGGGGCCAGGGGGCTGGGACCCGCCCAGGCTCGAGGGTGGCGTGGGCAGGTGCGCGCGGGCTCGGCGGTGGCTGCGGGAAGCCGGGGCGCCGGGAGCCGGGCGTAGGTGTCCCCTCGCGCGTCCTCCAGCTGCCCCTCCCCCGCACACTGGGCGCGCGTCGCGGAGGGGAGGGACCGTCTGGGGAGCGTGGCGGGCGAAGTTCACGCGGGGACAGGGCATCCTCCAGCCACTCGGCACATTCTTCGCTCTCCTCTTCCTGTAATTTTTCCAGCCCTCTAAGGTTTAATTTGTCGTCAGGAGAGCCAGCGGCGGCGCTGGCCGACATGGGGGGCGGTCCCGGGTCCCTGTCCTCGTCCGCGGCTCTTTGTGCCGGCCCCGCCCATCCGGCCGGCGGGGGTAGCCGGGGTAGCGGGGGCGGCGGGGGCTTCTTGTCCGGCCTCGCGGTGCCGGGGAAGCCGTGCGCTGCAGTTTCCCACAGGTCTGCGGCGCTCGTCCGTGCCCACTCTTACCTGCCTCGGGCACGACGTGATCAACGAACGGCACCTGCAAAAGGCTGGGGCCGGAGTCCGCTTCCTGGGCGCCAGGATCGCGCTGGTCCGAAACCCCTGGGCGTCGCTTTCCGACTTGCGCGACGCCACTTGATCGTTCATTCATTAGTGGAAGTTGTTTCGCCCACCTCGTTTAATTTTTGGTTTTAACACTGAAGATGCAAAAGTACAATGGATGGCAGCGCTCCTCCCTTTTGGTTTAAAGAATCGTCGGTTTCGAGCTCACTTGAGCTCCTTGGTGGCTCTCAGCTCCTCCATTTGCGGAGCGGGTTTGCTGCCTAAGTACTTAATACCGTTACCTTGTTTCCTAGGGCTGTGCCTAATCCGCGGTGAAATAGTTACATGCTGATTTAAAAGCAAAGACCCCGCAGGCTCCCAGACCCTAGGACAGAAAGCCCAGAGCTCAGCATGTGTTCAGGCTGGCGCGTCAACCGAACTTTACCCTCTGAGGTTACCTCGTGTCCTGGCCCCTTGCTGTGGCCCCCCAACCCCGTGGCAGGTGATGCAATGGCGGGTGAAGGCAGAGTCGGCTCCGGAGGCAGTGGTCCGCTTCAAGGTTCATGGTTTGGGTCGGAGTGAGAGGTTCCGGTGGGGAATTTCCACTTAGCCTGGGAACGCGGCCGAGACGGTGGGTGTGGCCATGGGTCAGGGGTCCGGCGGGCCTAAGAAATCTGGTGGACCCTGAGAGTGGGGTGGGGCAGCGCTTGGGGCGTGGCTGGGCTTGAGATCCACTTGGTGGTTATGGGGTGACGCTGTGCTGGGTGAGGAACTGGAAAGATTGGGCGAGCCTCCTGGCGCCTCTCTCCTGCGCGGTGGCGCTTCGTCATTTGCTGGGGGGCTGGTGATGAGGGGAGGGGCGCTGTGGGCGGGGCGGGGCAGGCGGGGGGTCTCACTCCCACGAGTTTTTCTGTAGTCTCACCCCTTCTTCTGTGCGCGCCTCTAGGCTAGAGAATTTGGGGCAGGGGGAGTTGGGGCCCACGCTTCTGCAGTGGGCTGGCAGTCTGCGCTCTTCTTGTGCCAGGAGAGCCTAGGCAGGCAGCGCAGGGTGGAATTATTCTTGCCTCCCTGGAGCAGCAGGGTCTGTTCTTGCGGGAAGCTGGCTCCGCCCTTCAGGTGTGCAGAAGGGTGGATGGGGGGGACGAGGAGGGGGAGGTTGGAAGCGGGCACCGGCAGGAATGCAGATTCCAGGCCACCGGTGCTGACCCACTCCAGAGCCCGGGCCTGTAGCCGGAACCGTATTTTCCTTGATACCCCAGGTGAACCTGATGAATTGTGCACCCTGAATAGCTGCCCTTGGAGGGCTCAGCCTGTGGTCCCGGCTCATCCTGTGGTCCTGGACACCTCTGGAGAACCCCATTTCTAGCTCTTGCCCAAGCCTGCCCAGCACAGCGACTGGTATTCCTAGGGGAAGAAGAGAAGCTTGCTGGTCTGGAGAGAAAGGAAAGAGAAGCCAGCTAGGCTGGCCCCAGGAGTGACTGAGAGGCGTGGCCTTTGCTGTGGAGCTCGGCCACCAGCAGAACTCCAGCCTCTCTGTCTCCGCAGGCAGTGGCTGAGGGCTTGCCACCTGTTGCACTTCCCTTCCCTTCTGGACCACAGTGCCATGGTGGCAGGGGTGAATACTAAAACCACTTCAGCTAAGAGGGTAGCCAGCAGTTTAGCTCTGTGACCATGGATGGGTTCCCAGGCCTACCTACAGCTTAGTGATCTCTGCCCTGATCACCTAGACAGTCTGGGGGCAATGGGGTCTTGTGTGTGAAAACCTCTTGTGAAGTACAGAAGGTGGCCTTGTCTTGGACCTACCTGGTGTCCATGGGCCAGGACTCTGTTTTGGTCTGAGCCCCCACTGGAACCCCCCCTGTTGGGCTCTGTCCCTACCAGTCCTGTGGACAGCTTACTGTCATCGTGCAGTTGTTGTTTATGCCATGGAAAATGTGCAGTGTAACAAAGAAACCTTTGCCCCTCCAGCCACTCACTTGTTTAATCTGAACCTCCAGCCCAGACTTAGGCAATTCACTAAGCCCAGCTTTGGGGATATCTTGGAGGCTGAGGGGCATCGATGTGGCAATTCCGGGACTTGCAAAAGGCCAGGCCAGGCTGGGCCTAGGCGTAGGCCCTTTTGAAGACAGGCCAGTCCCCTGAGCCAGCCGTCCTGCATCCAGGGATTCCAGCCTGTTGCTGGGAACACTGGGGCCTGCTGGGCCCCTCGTAGAATGGCCACTCAGTCTTTCTTGGCAGACGCCCTGGGTACATTCCTACCTATTTGTTCTCCTGGAGGACTGTTTTCAGAATGCCTCTGTGCCGTGTTCCCTCAAAGAAAGGAGCCAAGCTGTCCAGCTCCTTGCACGCTGCTCAGGTTGGGTCGTGTCAGTGATTCATCTTGGATCTCCAAGATGGCATGGGTCTGGCGTGCCCCTTCTGCAGGCCCTGGTCACTTGTCCCTTTCATGATGGCATGGTACATAGCCGTCTCTGAGCCGTTTCCTGTGATAGTTGGGAGTTGTTCACCTTCCTTTTACTTTCACCCACTGAGGCAGGGATTTTGTCTGGCTGAGGTTCCTGGGCAGTGTTTCTTCCCCTCCCCCAACATGCACTCTGACCCTGCAGCCTTATTTCCGAGCCTTCTGTTCCTACCCCTTAGAGGTGCTGCCTGCTACAGCTGCCTGGAAAAGGCACACCTAAGAGATCCCCCCAGGCCTGGGGCGATCTCCCTTACCCAGGGCAAAGCTGGGCTCATGGATGGCCAGTGCTTGTCTAGGGATGTGTTCAGGCCCACAGTTCCTCCTCGGTACCCTCAAAGGTCCAAGCTGCCAGTGGGCTTTGCATAACTCCTCAAACAGTGCAGAAGCCACTGGGCAGAATATGCATGTGGCCCTCTTCCTGGCCAGCCATGGCTGCGCTGTGCTCACGGGTCTGTGTAGACCTTCTAATGGATTTGTATGCATTGGTACCTGCGCGTCCAAGCAGATACTTAAGAAGTGCATAGAGAGGGTCCTAGCAACATACTGTATTGCATGTTTTTGTTCTGTGTTTACTTAAAAGAGACAGCTTTATCCTTTCTTCGTGTCTATGGGGTGTTCTAAGATGCGGCTGGTTATATGCCTGGACCATAGCTTATTTAACTTTCACCCATTGCCTTTTTTGGGTTTTGCGTTTCAGGCTGTCCAGCCATGGACTGTGGTGTGTGTGTGTCCTGGGGCAGAGGAGCTAGTGGTGATACTGACAGTGGCTAAGGGTGTGAATGATGTCAGATGTGGAGGTGCTATGTTGACTTGAAAGATACTGTGTCTCAATGAGCTTGGCTACAGTTTTTCCAGAGCCTCGTGCTGAGAAAGAGACTGCTTCACAGCCCTAGCTTTAAAGCTGTGCAGTTTTTTTTTTTTTTTGTTTTGTTTTGTTTTTTTTGAGAGAGAGTCTCAAGGCTGGCTTCAAGCTCACAGCGATCTTCCCACCTCACCCTCTCTAGTGCCAGGACCACAGGCATCTTCTACCACACCTGACTAACTTCTGCTGGTAGTTGTGCATACACCTCAGAGCATTAGAGTCAGAGTTCTGGAGACCTTTTAAACAAGACTGAGGAAATCAGCTGTCCCATACACCCTGCGGCTTGCCCCTCCTGCTGTCCTTAGTCCTAGCTCTCGAGCCTGGGGGGTGCCTGGTAAGCAGTGAGCTGCTGTGGCTGTTAGGTGTGCCTCCTGGCACAGCGGGCACACGGGCAGGGGCTGGTGTGGCACCATCATCCCTCTCTGCTTGTCTGAAGCAGGGCTGGAACTGTCCTTTGAAAGCAAGCCGGTGGCCCAGCTCCCCTGACCAGGGGGCCTGTCTTGGGAACCCAGTGAAAGCAAGGCCCTGATCCTTCAGGGTCAGTGTGTTTTTGGTCAGGGTTTGTGACTGTCCCCCCTGCCCCTAGCTACTCTTTACGTTTGCTTTCTTCCCATTAACTGTTTGGTTTCTTGATGTACCAAGCTAGATGAGGGGTGGACACACTGATAGCCGCTAGAGCTACAAGAGGACACAAACCAGTAAGTTACTCACACCTGTGCACTTGTAGATTCAAGCAGGTGACTGCAAAACCCCAGTGAGCGCAACACCAGCACAAACGTGGGTCCCTTTCTGGAGGGGTCTCAGGCATTTTCCAAGGTCCA